CTTCTGATCGACCTTCACCACCATCTTTGACTAACATATATGTAAGTTGAATAGCTTCACGTACAATAACAGAATCTTCTTCCATTAATAAATTAAGTAAATCAGGTATAACTTGACTTGGATCTGGTCTTGATTGTAATACTGGTGCTGGTTGCATTTCAGTATATTGCGGATGAATATTTTCATGATCTGGTGGTAATGAAGGTGGAGGTGGAATTTGTTCATAACCAGATGTTGTTGTTGATCCATGATGTATTGGACCAGTTGTACTTGTCACTGTTGATTCAATACTTCGTAATGAAGCAGCTCGTGAATTAAAACCTGAATCACGTTGTGATATCGATGTATTTGAAACAGCATATGGATCATCGAGCCACATTGATGTATGTGTTTCAGAATTGATGGGTTGTAATTGATTTGAAAGAAGTGGATGTTGAGGATGATGCATTTGATGAGACGGATGTGACGGAATTTGATGATGCATTGATGGTGGAGGAACACGATTACTTGTCGGATAGTCCATGATTATTAACTTAAAAAGAATAGAAGAATAATGGAGAAAAAAAAATGATAGATGCACATTATTCTATTACTTCTTTTTCTTCTTTTTTTTTTCTATGATGTGCTCGAGAAACTCAAATGGGTAAGCATTCATTATTCTTACCTAAGTTATTCCGGAGTATACGTTTATGATGAACCCGTAAGAAAAAAAAAAGAAGTAAATGGAAACGAGAGATAAAGAACAAGAAACGACCGACACGGCGGTCGTTCTTTGTCTGTACGGATGAACATACGTAGCTCTCGTTGTCTTTTATTAACCAATAAAATGAATAATTTCATAACTTGTTAACATCACGTCCTCTCTGGTTTTATCTTAGAAATATTTCGAGAAATCTTCTAATTATTCTCATTTAAATATAATGATTCATTGAATATATTGAATAGTTCATAAAAGTTAATCAATTATTTCGATTATGGCGACATCTATCGTATCTATTTGAATGAATGTATCTCCTAATTCTTGTGTTCAAGTAGTTCTACTTGGTGCTCACTTGAACATGCTCAATATCCGACGACGTTTCTTGTCATTAGTATAAAAGATTTTCAATCTTTTTTTTGACATCTAGACAGAACTCGATTTCATTTTATTGTTGAATATGTTTTTTTTTTGATTCAATAGTATCATTGAACATCGAATATAGTGATGTAATCAGAAATATTTGGATGATCGCGCACTGTCTTCCTAGTTTTTGAAAGTGTATTTGCGATCATGAAGATTATTTATTTCTTATCCTAGTCAACTTTCACTAGAAGAGTCCCGAGAAGTTTCTTGAAAAACTTCCTGGGGAGTTTGTGAGGAACTTACTGGAGATCGACTAAAGATCTCTCAAAAATTTATGATGAGAATTACAATCTCTTTAAATAGTCGTACACGATGTGTTTGCGATCATATCTCCATATAATACTCATCAGTGATGATCTTTTGATCTAAATTCAAAAAAAAAAATATAGAATTGATTTTTTTAAAATAATACTTACCGTCAAATCGTTGTTGAAATAAATGTAAATCGAAAAAATATAATTGATTTTCTTACGTTAATATTTCTGATTGTCATTCTTCTTCTGATTAATGTAAATAAATTAAATCAGATTCTATTTATAAAATAATACTTACCGTATTAATTGTTGCCAAGATTAATGTAAATCAAAAGAATAAAATTCATATCTTGGCATACTACTTACGATCGAAATTGATATCAATGAAAAAATAGAATTAAATCTTTTGCATTGATATTTTTGTCTTTGGAGTTGTAGTTAAGATTAATCTAAATAAATAAAATATAATTTTTATTCTAATTTCTTAGCTTAAAAGTCAAATCATCTACTATTTATTCTTTAATTCCTATTTTGTCTTTGTAACAGCTCGACGTACCTACAACCAATTATCCGACTACATTTTTCATTTATGAACAGATTTAATCTGAAATATATTGAAAATGCTTATGTACTTTGTAGAATAAGATCACGAGAAAAATAACTACTTAGGAAGTTCTCATGATGGGACTTCTTAAGAAGTTTTTAGTTTTCTTTCTACTCCCTAAAAACTAGGAATTTCTCAGGGACTCACTGGTGATTTTGCAAGGAAGAGTTAACTTTGAGAAAAACCGCTTAGCAATATTATACATATACATGTCATACATATATATATACAAACAAACAACAAAATTTTTTGTATTATGATACGTTACCCTGTTAGACTTATGTCTATGATTGACAGAGACAAATAGAATTCGATGATCTCCACAGACTTGGGTTTTTTTATATTGTGGATATATTTGTTGCCCAGATGGCCAAGAAAGAAGAGTATATGATGACACTTAGAAGATACATTATCATTCGCTTTTAGAATAGCAAAGAGAAACATCGTCATTAACAGATGATTGATGATAAATTAAATGTAGATGATTGATGTATGCTAGTGGTCTCTGCGTGTTTATCAAAAACTTCTGTCATTATCTTTATCTATCAAAGTGAAATAACTTCATGAAATTAAAAGAACGACAGCGTAAAGCCACTATATAGATAGGAACGGTGTGCACTTGAATTTATGCCATGAAATAAGAGACGACTGATATAGGTTATCTACGGTCATGAAGTATAGATTAATGTCGTATTAATCAATGAACACGGAGAAATAAATCAAGTATTTCCAATATCAGTCGTTTTAATTGAATAATTGTTTTTATTAGTGTATATAAACTGAGAACTCATATGGAGTTTTCATATAAATTCAACGAATTGCAAAAGAGAGACTCTTATTTGAGTTTTTATTCGGCTGTACTGCTTTTGTTTTGTCTATAGTAACAATGATTTTTTTGTCTTTGTTAAAGAAGTTCTGTATGAATTACTTTGAAAGTTTTTAGATTCTTAATTAAATTAATAGTTATATACGAGTTTGGTAGTTGTGATAGTAGACTCAAGTCTTTGAAAAAAGTCCACAAAGTTTTGGTTCTTGAACATTTCTTCATGCGTTTTTTTGTAGATTAAGTGATACACTACTAATACATTTTTTTTTGCATTGCTATGAATCTCACACGAGACCAAATTCGACTTATGATTTACTACGATTACAAAAAAAAGATTGTCACAGGAGGAATACCTTGAATCTTAACATAAAACGTTTGTTAACTCCTGTGTTTCACGTGCCACAGTTTACAATTGGTTTGCTGAATTTCATCGTGGCAGAGATCACTTCAAAGATGAACCTCGTGCCGGGTGATCAAGAACGGTGGTCACTTCTGAAGACATCGAAGCTGTCCGTCAGTTGGTCAATGTTGATCCACGTATTACATACTAAGAAATAGAAGATACCTTGCAGATTGGTACAACAGCAAGGGAAGCTATTCTTCATGAAGTATCTTGGTTTAAGGAAGATTACATATCGTTGGGTACCTCATTTTTTGACTGAAGCTCAAAAACAGGACCCTGTTGACTGTTGCCTGAAAATGCTCGAGAAGTTCGATGATGGCAGATCAAAACGTGTGTATGATATTATCACTGGTGATGAAAGTTGATTCTACTATTATGATCCAGAGATGAAAAGTCAAAGTCAAGTTTGGATGGCAAGCAATGATCCTTCTCCAATCAAAGTTCGTAGACAGTGTTCTGCTGGCAAACACATGTTTGGGATTTTTTTCTATGAAATTTGGTTTTAATACAATCATTTCTCTTGAAAACGGTAAAACAGTGACAGCGAAGTGGTATACAAATGAATGCTTTTAGAATGTTTTGAAACAAGTGGAAAAACATCGACGTCTCAACGGTCTCATTATCCATCATGATTATACACCAGTACATAAGGCAGCACAAATAATGGAATATTTAGACACTCACCGCGTTAAGTTGATGGGTCATCCAGCGTACTCACCGGATTTGAGCCCGTACGACTTTTAGCCATGTCAAAATATTAAAGAATAGCTTTGTGGCAAAAATTTTCCAGAATATTTATAAGCCTCATTATGCTGTCCAAAAGCAAATAGATTGTCTTCAAAAAGAAGATTTCTATCAATGCTATGAAAAGTGATTCGAAAGAATGAATAAGTACATTAGTGTACACAAGTACATTACTTCGAAAAAATATAATAAAATTGTTTCAAACTGATCTAACAGCATTGCAAATCTAAAAATTTTCAGACTGACCCACGTAGATTCTATGACCATGAATGATAATAATGACATCAATTTGAGAAATCGATTCGTCAAACAACAAACATTTTTAATTGATTTTATTATCTATAAAAATTCATTATCAATGGATGCAGAAAAATCCAGTTTTTCTTGGTTTGATTGAACGAGAAGCCAAAAAACCATTGAATACGAACATGATTCATCTCGTTATTATCTGACTGAATGTTAATGAAGATATTGGCGTTATGAAATCAACTTCACAAACATTTATATACATGTTAACTGTAATATGCATGGCTAAGCGAATAATTTACAATTGAAACGACAGTCAATCGACCATTTACTGTTAATACAATATGGTTCATCTTTTTTTAAGAATTAAACTATAGGATGCTCAATAGAATCAGCGACCAAATCGAGATTACGAGATAATCCTAAAAGAACGCAAACGATTTACATTTGTTTTGCTTTTATCTTTTTAAAACAAAGCGTCCTTTTTCCTTTTTTTTACAAATTGCTGAATGGTTGAACACCAGCCAATCTAGCCTAGCCTTGGCTACACCATCAATTTAATCATTAGTAAAATAAATCATACGAAAAGTTTTTCTTTATTCTCAAAAGCTATTGTAAACTTAACAAAGGGAAAGAAAAATAAAGGTGTGATCTGAAATCAATCATTTCATTTTTTTTTATACTAACTCACACAATAAAATGCATTCAAAACAGCTAGATTTCAAGAGTTTAAATATGATGTCAATCAAAATATGCGAGAATAACAAGAAAAAAAAAGTAAAATATGCACCTTGGGTTTTTTAACGATCTAATTCTCCACAGCTAGCGATTGTAATTCTTTTTTGTGTTTTGCCCGATGGTGAACCTAAACCTTCAATTTTTCGGACAACATCCATTCCATCAGTAACTTCACCAAAGACGACCTACGAAAAAAAACCAAGCAAAATCAAAGTAAATAGTTGATCTTTTAATCACAAAATATTCTTACATGTTTGCTATCAAGCCATGGTGTTGCTACTGTTGTAATAAAAAATTGCGAACCTAGAAATATGAACATGTATTTTAAAAAAAAGTTTTTTTTTTTTTGAACAAGAAATATATTACCATTTGTATTGGGACCAGCATTAGCCATTGAAAGTAAACCTTCTTTCGCATGTTTAAGTTGAAAACTAAATCGAACATTAAATGTCATTCTTTGTTTATTATCATTTATATATAAATAAATATTTACTTTTCATCTTCAAATTTACCCCCATAAATACTATTCAATGAACAAATAAAATAAAAAATATTGAATTATTTATTTTATTTTTTTTTTAAATAACTATCTCACCTACGTCCACCAGTACCATTACTAAATACATATCAAATTATCTATTTAGTTTCTAATATAAAGAGAAAAAAAAATTTTTTTTACATACTGTCGTTCAAAATCTCCACCTTGTAACATAAATTGTGGAATTATCCGGTGAAAAGTTGAATCTTTATATCCAAAACCTCTTTCACCTGTACATAAAGCTCGAAAATTTTCTATATAAAGCAAAAAAAAAACAAAAAGAGATCGAAATTTATCATTGATTAATTGAATCGTCTAATTTCATACCAGCTGTTTTTGGTACAACATCATTATAGAGCTAATATAAAATAAAATTTTAACAATAGAAAATCATTGAAAGAAATATTTCTGTAACTAACTTGAAATATAATGCGTCCCAATGGTTTGTCTTCAACATTAACATCACTAAATTTAAAAAGATATTTATTTTTAACTAAAAATAATATAACAAAAATTCTAACGTACAAGAAACATTTTGAGCGAGCCATAGACTTTTTTTTACTAAGATTTTTGTTGAATGTCAAAATTTATCTACAATAATAACAAATAAATGTATGTTGTACAAAAGTATATAAATGAAAGCATAAAAAATGATTTATTATTCAATAAACAAAATTATTTAAAATTTTAAAAGACAAAATTTTATAAAAAATTCTTCTAGTAAATATATCTCAGATAGAAAACAATATGAATAAATGATCAAGTTGATTAAAACAAATATCTAGTTCCCTGATGTGTACATATTTGTGTAAACATTTATATCAATGTAATTTCTGCAACTACTTTTTTTCACGAATCACTATCAACCCAAGCTGCTGCTTGTGAATTTTGATTATTCATGAAAGTACTAAGAGTGTTACTAGCTGAATCTTTTGACGCATAATAAGTCATTATAGGGATATTATTAATAGGTAGTAAGTATTATTTGATATGAATTTAAAGAAAAAGAATGCCCCTGTCTGCCGATGACCTTGCAGTATGGTTTTCTGCTTAGTGGCAAACTCAATAGCTCGATATCTTTCCTACAATCAGTACTAGTTGTAGCTCTGAATAGAAGACTAGTCTGCCCCATTGTTTTTGCATTCAATTTCTTGAACTCTCCATACACACTAACTAATCACAAGAGCATGTGTATGTCACAACGTAATCAGTATACTATCAGACAGGTCCCACTTAACCATGGTCGCTCGATATAAATTTAACTAAGATTGACCACTCAAATTATTATATTAAAATAGAAAAACATATCAAATAGATTCATTTTAGTATCATTACAACTAACTTTATATTATTTATGGTATGTTCATTACGATGAAATGCTCAAGTAACATTTTTTGACAGATAATTTTTTAAATCATTTTGTTTATCATCTGATAAACGAAATAAAATTGTAACCACATATATTACGATTATAATAAACAATAATGTTTAATTCAAGTTTTATTGAAGAAAACAATAAGTTAAACAGACGAACAGCTTCATCATTTGATTTAAATAAATCTATTAATTTTTCTGTAGAATTTTTTTTTTGTTCAATTCTTCTAGTACATAAATGATCATTAACATGTCCACATAAAACACTAGTAGCTGCTTGTTAAATTAGTGCATTGATTGATGGAAAGAAAAACTATAGGAAAAAAAGACAAGAATTTTCTAATCATTAGATTTGATTGGCTACATGAAAAGATTTTGTAAAAGTAAAATAGATTTTTCAAAACAAACTTTAAAACAAGAAAATTTTGACCTTCGAATATCTTTATGTCAAAGACAAAAAAAAAATTAATTTAGAAATATATAGTACTTTCATTGAAAAAAAAATCATTCCTTTGCAAATCATTCGAAATTATTACATAGGAATGTTTATCTCTAACGGAATGACATTCGGAACTTTTTGATTCTTAAATATAAAATAATAATTTCTATGGTAAACGAAGAAATATAATCTCATCTATTTCAAGAGTAATTTGAAATCTTAGCGAAGCTTAATTTTTTCTTTGTCATTTCGCCTTAGGCTTTTATAAAGGCATATATGCATTTCATCGAAATTCGGCGATGTTCATTTCAATGACCCTAAAGCTATCGGCGATATATTCGGATAATACCTGCAGTATCCTCTATCCAGTATATAACCAAAAATCAAACGAAAAGGATGATTGTTGAAACGAACATCTCTTGTATAAATCGTTGAGAGAAATTCAACGATATATATTTTCGATAATATACGTTCTGGCGATGAGATATATAACCAATGTAATATACTAGCACAACTTACAACAATATTATCTATATGTTAATAATTATCAATGTATTTTCCATTAAATTGCTAATTGTCTAATGGTACATGACTTGAAACAAATAGTTGTATTAATTCTTATGTTGTACTAGTTTTGAAAGATTATCTTTTGATAAAAATCTAAATTTCTTATTAAGTTAATTGTTAATTCTACAATATGCCATGAATATATCGTTGGATTAAGTAAATCAGCAATTTCTAAAATGTTAATGCACATAGGGTTCGCTCTAAAAATTTTTCTTATCATGATTTTATATTATTGTATTAATAAGTGGTATCACTACTATTTGATTGAACAAGATATAATTATGAAAACATTTGTTTGTAATAATTTAAGAATTAAACGAATAAATTATCGAAGATTTTTCTATAAATAAAAACTTAA